ACTACTTGACTCACTAGAGGATCTTCTTAGGCCATGTTTATTAGTTCTTCTCAACAATGCATGGTTGGTTATCTTTTCCATGGGGTGGCTATTCCTTAGTGAGGCATTATTAATTGTCCTCAACAGTGGGTGGTTGCCTATCCTCGATATAAGGTGGCTGGTTGTCCTCAATAGGGGTGGTTGCTCCACAGATGGTTCATTCTCCATTTAGGCCACCTAAATGTGGTAACCAAAGTATAAATAACTTAATACACCTAAATAGGGAGAAAAATAAAGCTAAGAATACATCTTTGGATGTTACTTACATTTGGTAGTTGGCCTTTACATGATCTGGAATTGTGACCTTTTTGGAAGCATTTTGGCAGGTCATTTGTCTTCCTTGTCGTCCCATTTTTGTCTTTCCCTCCCATTCTTCAAGATTTTCTTCTTTCTTAAGCTTGCTAGGCATCTTCCCTGGTGCAGGTGGCTATATGGCTAGCATCCCTATTGTTGTCCACTACTTGATGCCTTTAACAACTAGTACCTCATATGCATAAGAGGCCATAAATGTTAACAACTTGTACCAACCTAAAACATATTCTTCAACTCTCAGTTTTTTAAAATTCAATACTGTCATGGCATCTCTACAAGGAATCCCAAATAGATCCCAATACCTACAGGTGTATTTTCTGTCTTCCAAGTTTATAATATAAGTGTTTCTCCTTGAATCCACTCTATTTTTATTATTCATATAATCCTCAACTTCATAACCAACTCCCCCAAGCCATAAGACCTTGCATTTCTTACTACCTTCCCTATTCTATACAATCTTAGTCCATATTTTAGGGCCAAATTCTCCCACAAACTTAGTAGATCCAAACGCTCTCCAGCAACAGTTCTTGCTACACATATAGCTCTCATTTCTTGATTCATAGAAATTACTACCTTATGTCGTGCATCAACAAGTAAGGCATTAAACACCTCACACATGTTTTTGTCAACCATAGTTAACTTAACTTCAGTCTTGAAAAAAGCTCTACTCTAATGCTTGAGATCTACATTCATTATGTTATCCCTTGCTGTAGGCTTCAATTTGCCTAACTCTACTAAGGCATCGTTGAATTTTGCCTTATTTAGTACCTTCACACATCTCCAAAATAAAGCTTGCAATTCCTTCACTTTGTGTTTGTTTCTGAAGTTGGCATATCTTTGCCTAACTGTCACGCCTTAGAACCCAAATTCGGGGATGTGGCAAATGCCATGCACTCGTGAGAGGGTCCTACAAATGCATAAGGCTCGGAACTTATCCAATTCACAATCTGATACCATCAAAATCTAAAGATCAAATTTTATAATTTGATCTAATATTATAAATCTCCAATAAAGTCTAGTTTACAAGATCATGATTTATTTCTAAAATCTATGTCAATCTCGAAATGGCTAGCCTTTTAACTCGTCACTTCCCGTGGCCTCCCCGTCCTCGGTTTCGCTTCCTAAAATGGTGGACAAGGAAAACTATGAGATAAACTCAATAAGTAAATATGGAGTGCCCCATATTAAACTCATAGCATGCCAACAAGTATAATCAGAAAAACGGATATAGTACAGGAATGAAATAGACGTCTCCTCTATAGGTCACGGCTAGTGTTATAAACCTCCCACTGGCAGGCACACTATTTGCTGGTGTATA